TTAAATTGTAGAGGTCTTTCTCTCCTCGAGAGAGACTCTCTCCACGGAGCACATATCTCCCAGACTCTAGAGGGAGAGAGTACGACGAGAAGGGGGGCCAAAAAGGGACATATGACTATAACCCCACAAAAATTCTATATCCAGAGCCACATGTTATGTGATCCCAGAGCCAAGGGTGTGAATAGTGTATAAGAGAGAACGTAGATAACTGTGTAGGAGAGATTATTTCTTTGGGTGTAGACATAACAATACGATATACACATGGATGTATATAGATTTGTACACTTGGAACCAATATAGTTTATTAACCAATGTCACTCAAATAAATTCAATAAATTAAAAAGAAAAACAATAGACCTCAAATGTATGCTAAGTTTATTCCAGTGAAATACGGAATGGTTACTGCTATAACTCTATTCCTTCTTACCTCCATTTAGTGCTATGAATTTTACATATATATTGCACATTATATCTATATTAGAGGCCTGGTGCATAAGATTCATGCACGGGTGCAGTCCCGGGGTCTGGCCGGTGATCAAAGTGTGAACGTCTGGCATGGAAGGGCAGGTCTCAGCTGACCTCTGGGCCCTGGGCAGCACATGGGCAGCATTTGGGCCCCTGGACCCCCACACGCCTCCTTCCACCTGAGTCACAGCACCTGAGTGCCAATGTGGAGATGTGGTGAGCACAGCTGGATGCCATGGGCCACTGCGCTCTCTCCAAGCTGGCCTCGCTGACCAGCTCTTGTGCGAACCCATGGGGAGCCCAACTGGCCCCTGCTGTCCTGGTGGCTGCAGCCTGGCTTATCCAGAAGAGGCCATGAGGGTGCAGGGCAGGATCCTAGTAGGTGCCCAGCACTTGAGGACAGGGGCTTCCCTGGCACACAAGCACTGGCACCCCGAGGGAGGGTAGCATGGGGAGAGAGAGTGAGCTCGGCAGACACTGCACATTCTCACCACACCTCCATCCCCATCACCTCCTCACCCAGGTAGCCTGCAAGAGGTCACAGCCCCCCACACGGGCGCCATGGGAGAGTGATCTCCGCCACTCAACCCCAGTTCCCCATCTCGACCCAGAGCCTGGCCCCAATTGGGTGATCAGGGCCTGCTGGCTGCTGGTCACCATCTGCGGGGCAATGGGTTGGGTCTGGGCCCTGTGCCTGACTGGGTGCCAAGCAGTGGCCTTGCCCCCCACCACCTCCACTGGCTGCCATCTGCAGGGCAATTGGCGGGGTGATCAGGTCCCCACTCGCACCTGCCTTGGCCTGGTGCTGCCCACTCACCTGCTCCACCATCCTGCTGCAGTCCCACTCTCATGGGGTCCCATCGAGGCTGGCAGTGCCTCCACTGCTGCCCGCTGACAGAGCTGCATTGCCAACACCCACCATGTTCCGCCCCCTGGTGGTCAGAGCATTTCTTAGGGAACGGTTGAACTCTCGGGTGAGGGGACAATTTGCATAATAAGTTTTTATTATATAGGGCTAGTGGCACAGTGCACAGATTCGTGCACATTGAAAAGATAGGAAATAGTAGGTGGCCGGCGGGGCCCAACTGGGTGAGACAGGCTGCACGTGCCCTGGAGCCAATCTCCCGAGATCCCTCCCTGCCCGCCACACCTGGGGCAGTGGCAGGGCTTGAAGGGCATCTGCAGAGTGAGCGGGGTCCCTCCAGCAAGTGGGGTCCCTTGGCCTGACCTGTGAGGATCGAGCCAAAACCAGCTTTCCAACATCCCCCAAGGGGCCCCAGAGGGGGAGTAGGCCCACTGCAAAGTTGCTATTGCTCAGCAGCTCCTGCACTGAGTATCTGCCCCCTGGTGGTCAGTGCACATCATACCTACTGGCCAATCGGCCAGTCTGCCGGTCACTTAGCCTTTTATATATATAGATATGTAACAACCCCAACAATACATTTTTATACTTATCAATTTGTATGATTTTCTGTTTTTAAAAAGGCTGAAGGGGAAGAATAAATGTGTAGGGCTTGTTATAGTAACTATCTTTCTTACAATCTCTGCTTCTCTGTATTCCTATGAGTTCGCATTAACATCATGTGTCATCTCCTTATTTCACTAGGCTGTGCAACCACTTAGCTCCTTTATTCTGCTATTGCTAAATATACTACTTTTAAGTATGAAATGGGCGTGCAATACAAATATATACATATTGTTGTATACAATTGCTTCTTAAACCAGTTAAGAGGAGAAAGGAGAGAAAATCTGTATTTATACTGTCTTTTATAATTACACTATTCCCTTACTGATGCTCTTTGTTTTTCTATATGAATTTGCATTACCATCGGGGGTCACTTGCTTCCTGCTGAAAACCTCCTTTTGTGTCTTTTCTAAAGTCGATTTGCTAAATAAAAGTTTCTTCAAGTCCCCACACTGTTTCAAATAAAGTGAGTTCTTTGGGGAAGAAATTCAGAGATCTCTGTGATTATGGGCTGCCTCTCTCCCTGGGAAAATATCTCTGAGCCACTGCCTCTCCCTGGACAGGGGTGGTAGCCTCTGGTCTACTCTACTTGCCTCTACCAGGTTGGAAACACCTTCCTAAAAGTCAGACAAGGGGAGGATGATCAGGCCAGGTGATCTCAGTCCCCAGCCTTCTTCCCACCTATGCATCAGCTAGAGCCTTCACTCTATGAGTGGGGCTGGGTGCAGGTGGGGAGCCCCAGCCTCCAGGAATTTGGTCTCTGCAACTCAATGCTGGAGGCCATGAGAAATACTGATGGCCTGCCTCTCCCAGTGACACACCTTATCCTGCTTGAAACAGGGAAGAGGGAGCCACCTTTTGTTGACCACACCCACCAGGAGCAGAGCTTTTGTCAAACTGAACTAGTTAAGAAATTCTGTGAAATCCAGGTACCCTTCTGTTTTTTTACAACTTTCAGAAATTCCTTTGATGGTTGTTGAATCAGTGCTCTGTACTCAGTGCTTTCAGTTTCACATTACTCTAAGTCCTTCACTTCTAATTAATGGGTCTTTAGGAATTCTGGAAAGTCACATGACATCAGAAAGGTGAATAAAAGCCCAACCATCTGGTGAAAGACAGAGAAGTGACAGAAACCACTCCGACCTACGCTGAGGAGAAAAAACAGGTAAGAACTTTATTTCAAATACACCATTCATTTTAGTCACACATATGAGCTTTATTTTAGAGAGGATTTCTTGGTTTAGAAGTAACCCAGGTACTGGTTGCCAGGTGGAGGAAAGATGGGGCTGGGTGAAATGGGGAAGGGATTAAGGATACAAATTGGCAGTTAGAAAACTGTCACAGGAATATAAAGTACAGCCTAGGAAATGTAGTCAATAATATTGTGATAATTATGCAGACTGCCAGGTGGGTACTAGACCTATTTGGGGTTTCACTTCTTAACTTATAGAAATGTCTAACAGCTATGTAGTATGCTGAAATTTATACAATATTGAATGTCAACTGTAATTTAAAATAAACTCTTAAAAATAAAATAAAACATAGCCCAGATCCACTAGATCCAATTTCTTAGTGCCAACTGCTTTCTTAAGCCTTACAAGTAGAATTTGGTCCCACTATGTTTCTAAAAAGTTTATCTTTAAAGAACTCATTGTGGTGCATCGCTAAAGCCAACATTTTGTTTACCTGACCTCTCTGTGCTCTCAAGCAGTTTTGTTCCTGCTTTCTGGAAACTCTGCCTCTGAACTCCTTGGCTTGGCATGAATTTCATTCCTCACCTACTTCTCTAACAGCAAAAAAGCAGCGTCCTTTCCATTTTGATTTGGGTTCTAATCAACCTGACCCTTAAATGCTTGGATGTAATATCTTCATTATTTTTAGTTTCCAGTGAGAACAGTCATTATGGGAAGGAGCCAGATGCAGGAGGAGTGAGGGAGGGAAGAGCTAGGACTGCTGAGAACTTGTCCCCTGTCTGCAGCACCCAAGACATGTAGGTTCCCACTAAACTAACTCTTCCAGGCCCAAGTTCATTAACAACAACAACAACACGTGCCCAAGCATTAGCCTCACACTGGAAGTGCAGGCTTGGCACTGAAGGGCAGGGGACAGTGGGAGGCTAGTATTGGGCCTGGCTACCAGCAGCTCAGAGTCTCTGTTTGGATCAGAGGCCTCTCTGTGAAGCGACCAATGCTCATCTACTTTGTCTTCAGGGTGAGCTTCCCCTCTGGCACCCTCCCAGGGCAACACAAACAGCCCTCCATGGGGAGAGGAGGAACCCATAGTCTCTCAAATGCCAAAAAGGCTAAGTCCTTCCTGGGATGGATGGAGTAAACCCCATCTACTTGCAGAGGCTCCTGGTGGAGTCTCTCCCCCTCCATCTCCCTGTCCCTTTTCAGACTGTCCCTGCACCACAACCATCATCTCTGCCCCATCTCCAGGCATTGGAGAAACTGAGAGAAAAGGTGGTCCTTAACTTACAGACAATTTAAATCCTGAAAGGTTGACTCTGATTATTTTTGTATTTAACAATACTTAATATTCCAAAGAGAGCACAAAGCTCTGTGGTATAGAATAACTTAATTAATCACCAACTGTTAGAAATAACTATAAGATCTAAGATTGTTTGTTTACCAGGCATTGTTTCTCATGTGTGGTCTATACAAGAACCATCTCAGAATGTCCCATCATACTTGCTGAGAAGTCATGGTTTGGGATAGTTTTCACCATCACTTCAGATGACTGATTCTCCTGAGGAGGAACTTTGGAAACCAACTAACTCCACACAGGAGAACTATTTCATTGTACTTATTCATTTGAACTTAACAGTTTGGGATTGGGTATTACAGTTTACTTACATTTTTTAAAAATTGTGTTAACTTATCTATTCCTACCCAAAATTTTAAATATTTAGTTTAAGGAATAATCTCTGTAATTCCTCCTGCTTATGTCACAGCGCTAGAAGATTAATGATTTATTCCCCAACTCTGTTCCCAATTACTTTAGAAGAAAAAAAAGAGAGAGAGAGAGAAATAGTACAGAGAAAGTGTGTTAAAAAATTGTTATTTTCGGAGAAAAAGATTTTAGACACCTTATTATTTGGTGGCAATTTGCAGCTTACTGAACATATAAACACATTTCAACACAATGCCTAGCACTACATTAATCATTAATTTTTGAGACCCTGTGTGTTACCAGACCCTACAGGAATGAGTCAGACAGGAATTCTTGCTTTATCTATCTCACTAAAAAAATGCAGGCTCACAGAGGTAAGTTCCTTTTCCAAGGTCTCATTGACAGTCAGTGATTTGAACCCTGGTGGCCACTCCAGAATCTGTGCTTCAACATCCCAGGACTGCTCTGGATCAAGAAATGTCACTGTTCAGTCCAAATCCACACCTTCATTTAGAACTTTACCTCCCTACCCTCATAGACACTCACTTTTTAATTAATACTAACATAGGATTCAGCATGCAACACAATGATTTTAAGAGCAGTATAAATTTTATCATATATTTAATCTTTCTAATGACCTTAATGACCAATACATTGTGTTTGTTTGTTTGTTTGTTTTAGTGCTGCCATTTTATGGAAAACAAACTAAGACAGAGAAATAACTTTTTCTAATGCACAGCTAGGAGAGCAGGGAACACATGAATGTTGTTTAGGATTGTCTTTGAGAAAGTGAAGGGACAGTCAAATCACTTTGCTTTCTGTCCCTTGATTGCATGAAACACCCACTGTGATGGAAACAGTAAAGTAGGACCTTTCTCAGCTGTGGGACTCTGGCAGCTCTGGGTACACCCTAAAACATCCTGACTACAGCCTCTCTTCCCTGCCAGCCTAGAAACAAAAAATGTCTTTTTATTCTAGATTAAATAAACAAATTCCTGCATTCATAACTGTATCTGGGTCCTATAAAGATCTGTATTGTGGTGTTTTGAGAGGGAATCTCATTCTTTGTCTTCTTCTTCCTCTCAAAGTCTCCCATCTTCCAACTGCAACAGCTCCCAGGATTTACTACAAATGTCCTCCTCAAGGTCACAGAACACATTTATTTCTCTTTTTCTGAGAGGCCTTTCCTGACCATCCTCTGTTTAAATTCAGCCCCTGTGCTCCCTATCTCAGTTTCTGTTTGATTTCTCCTGAGCACTTTCCATCATCTAATACACATACCACACATGCTGCTTATTTGTTTTCTGTATTGTCTGTCTTCTCCCACTAGAATAGAATCACTCTGGAACTCCACACATACCACACATGCTGCTTATTTGTTTTCTGTATTGTCTGTCTTCTCCCACTAGAATAGAATCACTCTGGAACTCCACGTATCTTCTCTGGCCACTTCTCATCTCCTGCATGTCCCATTCTGCCTCTACTTACCCTCAAATGTTAATGTTCTCAAAGCTCCATCATCAGTGTTTGTTTTGCTCATTCTATTCCTTTTATGCATTACATGGGCAAGGTTGTATTAGGGTTTATTTAAATATCAATATGATAATGTACATAAGGAATCTGTGCCAGGCCTTGACACACTAGGCTAAATACTTATCTTTTAGAAACATACAAAATGTAGAAATCTGACTTATAAGTTGTACACACACTGGTAGAGAGCTGACAAGCATGTGACTTGTGTATTAGATATGACTTCAGGACCTTGTGTTGTACTGAGTTGTTGCTCTGGGTTACAGCTCACCATGGCCTCTGGAAACACCATGATGGACCCCATCTGCCTGGTGGAAAATCAGAATAATCAGCTGACAGTAAATCCAACAGCACTGGAGATTCTAGACAAGATCTCTCAGCCTGTGGTGGTGGTGGCCATCGCAGGTCTGTATCGGACAGGAAAATCCTACCTGATGAACCGCCTGGCAGGACAGAACCATGGTGAGTGTTGTTCTGGGGCGGGGGCCATTAGCTTGGAGACTATGATAACACAGACTGATCACGCCTCCTTCAGGGTAATCTTTAAAAAAGCCTAACTTCTTCCACTGAAAAAAGGTTCTAACAGCCCAAATAAATATCCTAAACCCCACTGTTCCACAAAATCCCACTCTTTGAGCCAGTAACAATGGGTGCCCCAACTTAATCCAAATATCCACCCATTATTCTTGATGCCATCCACTCTTTCTGCTGAGGAGCTCAGCTCCAACAATTATTCCTTTCTCTCTCATCACTTTTGTCCTAAACTTCAGGGCCTTTTCAACTAGGACACAAATATTGTTCAACATGTCCTGTTTTTAAAAAGGGATGGAAGGAACAACAGACAGCACTATATTCTATATATGCCATCTCTCACTTGTTCTAACCTCCAGTTTTTTTCATTGCTAAGCAAAACTTTGCTAAATAAAGCCCTCTTTTCTGTATCTAGTCTTTTCCAATATGTTAACTATACCACAGAAGAGTGCACAAAACATACACATATACAAAGTTAATAAACATAAAGTGATCCTCTGTGTAATCACTGTCCATATCAAGAAATAAAACATCACCAGCACCCAAAAGCCCTAGATGTACCCTCTGACACCTCACTAGAGCTCACCAATGTTTTGATTTTCATGGAGCATGCTTTCACTCTTTCTTTTAAAAGTGGTTTTACAAGCTGTGTATGCATTTGTAAGAATAGCTTAAATATTATATAAAGGAAAGTCCATTCAGATATTCTTTGGAATCTTGATTCTTTTGCTCAACAAAAAATTTAAGTTTTATCAAGTTTGTTATATGTATCTGTAATTTATTTATTTTCACTATTTTATAGTATGCTATTGTGAGAAGATACTATAATTTATTTATCCATTTTTTGTTGATGAACATTGGTTTTGTTTCTAGTTTTTTACTTTTTTGAATGATGCTGATATGAACCTCCTCAATTGTATATCCTGGTGCACAAATACACAAACTTACCTTGTGTGACAGACCCAGAAATAAAATTGCTCAGTCATGGAGTATATATGTTGTCAGCCTTTCTAGGTATTTTCAAACAGCTTTTCAAACTTTATATGTAATGCATACGTTTATTAGCAGTAATTGAGACTTCTCCACCATGTCATAAAAATTTAGTAAAAGACGTTTAAAATTTGATGATCTGGTGACTTATATAGGTGCATAATATTTTCCTTATTATAAAAAAGTTTGAGCATCTTTTCACATATTAATTTACTCTTTGCAGTTTCTATTTCTTAAAGTCATTTTTCTTTCTTATTAGCTTGCCCCTTTTGGTTCATACTGGTTTTTAGAGTAATCTGCCTATAACTCATTTCTGTACTTCATTTCTCTTTTTGAAGACCACACACCATTTTTAAAAAATATATTTTTATTCATTTCAGAGAGGAAGGGAGAGAGGGGAGAGAGATAGAAACATCAATGATTCAGAGAGTCATTGATTGGCTGCATCCTGCACACTGCCCGCCCTACTGGGGATCGAGCCCACAATGCAGACATTGCCCTTGACTGGAATCAAACCCAGGACTCTTCAGTCCTCAGGTGGATGCTCTATCCACTAAGCCAAACCAGCTAGAGCTACACACCATTTTAATTTTCAAATATCTTCCTCTGTGTCTCATAAGCTCAGCACCATTTTGGGTTAAACCTCAATACACTGAACTCCAACGATTCCTAGAAATATCTCTCATTGTCTTTCTCTCACTGTGTCTCTTTCGTTTCGTCTCACTCCTCGCCCTTTCCTTTTTTTCTCCCTCTCTCCTTTTTGCTTTACAATCTTTCCCATTTATTTCTCCTTTTCCCCCCATTTGTTTCTAACAAAACATTTTGTCTTGGTCTTTCCTATAGAGAAATTCTAGACCACTCATCAGGGGAGAACACTTCCCCATTGGAGGAAACATTGGCCTATGGCAGATGTTAAAAATGTTGAACTGTTAAACAAGATATATCAGGAACAGGTTCTTGGATATACCAATTGCATGCTCTTCACCTGTTGGTTTAAGCCTTTTGAAAGAGGAGCTAGCACCTTTCACAGTTATTTTCTGCCTTCACTTCCATTATATCTCCACCTGAGGCGGGGGGCGGGGGGGGGTAGGGAACAAAACAAAATTCATCATTTCCTTGAAAAGGAGAAAAGAAATAAGAAAAATACAGGAATAAAAGGGAAAGAAAATCCAACAAAGCTAATTATTGATCTATGTCCTAGCAGGAACACAAGAACCTCTCAAGGGGTGACTGAAGAATGTTTAATAGAGGGATTCATACAAGGTCATAAGCAGGTCACAGAGAACTAATTAGAGATGAGGAAGCAATGAGAGGGTGGCAAAAGCAATGGCCAGGGAACTATAGTCACTCCTATAGCCTGAACAGCCAAGCAAAAAGTGAAACCAGACTGTGGCAAAGACCAGCACTTGTGGATGGAGCTAAATGAAAGGGCTGTGACCCACTGAGAGGCACTGGGACACCAAAGCTCACCAAGGAGAAGTGAGAGGACCATATTCCTGACCTCTAGTCTCATGTTGGCGCCTCCCACTGGTGGAACTCTACCATAACCTGAAGGACAAGGGAACTCATGTCAGAAAAAAATACAAAGGTCAATAGAGGTTATAGTAATTCTGAAATGTGACATTGCTTGAACCATTGATAGTTTGAAGTGAATAGGGAGCACAGAGTGTTTCTTGAAAAGGTTCTGAACATGTATAAAGGTTGGATAGGCTGTCCTTGCTGAAATGAAAGCAACCTTCCTTCCAGCCTGGCACTCACACTCTGATAATTTTAACCAATGTAACCTATGGGAAGCCTGGACTATCTGCTGTTACTCTATACGCTTTCTCCTCTAACTTTGCAGGATTCTGTCTGGGCTCCACAGTGCGGTCTGAAACCAAGGGCATCTGGATGTGGTGTGTACCCCACCCTTCCAAGCCCAACCACACTCTGGTCCTTCTGGACACTGAGGGCCTGGGTGATGTGGAAAAGGTAAGGCAAAGAGTCTTATTTGTTTTTGATAATTCACATACATTTTAATTTTCAGCCTCAATTCATCTTTTATAAAATATTTCTGTAAACTACAGATCCAATTAAGAATAATTAGGTTAAATTTTGTTTTCTTGAATTTACTTTCTTGGAAACTCAATACTCTCCTTATTAGGTATAGACATTCTGATTTTTATAGTTGTTTAAAAGGTACAAGATAACAAACACTTACTGAGCATCTAAATTCTAGGGTTTTGTGTTAACCACTATAGATATGCATGATTGGAAAAGGCCCAGAGCCTTGTTGTGAGATAAGAAATAAGCAGTGTTATCAGTACCAGATACCATGGATACAAGGAGTGACATATTTAACCAGCCTTCAGGATACAAAAAATATCCAGGCGGTAGAAAATAAGTCCACCTATTGGTCATTGAAGTTACAGAAAGATGCTAAGCATTATTACTAAACTAAAAATACGACTTGCTCTCCTCTTAAGTCAGCAAAGGAGAGTTGAAGCTGAGCCGGCAAGCAGCACTCACACTACCCTGTGCTCTTCGTAGAGATGCAAAGCACCTTGAAAGTGCAGAGGTTTGGTGGAATTTCTTCCCTTCTTTTCCCTTTTTCCCATATAAGGAACCTCTTGATGTTTGTGATTGATTGCATTGCCCAAATGCTGAAATATTAACGACCTTCTCGGACTGAGGACCCAAAGAAAGGAAACTGAAACCGATTCTGTCATCACAATTAAAGACTCCCCTGGCTTTAATTAGCCTGACCTGGGGTATATCTCCCCGTTGCTTGAGTTAAAGAGAAAAGAGCCCATTATAGTCCAGTCTGAGACCGATAGCTACTTAATTGAGCACCTAAAGGCTCAAGTCTTTTAAATCAAACACTGTCCTGGACAGTCCCCCTGGTTAGATAATTAACTCTCTAGTGCACAGAAACGTTGCTATAGAGAAAGAAAAAGAAACAACTTTTCAGAAAAAGGGTTGAATTCTAATGGTAGCCTTCGCCTCTGGTGAAGGGGATTAAAATGTATATAGACATGTATGTAAGTTGTTCTGCTCTGAGGCAGCCTTGAAGCTGTAGACATGGAAAGGTCTTAAACTCCATTAATAATGTCCAATAGCACATCAGTCTTAGGTGGATCTGGGTCATTTTCAAACTTTGAAACTGTAATTTTTGACTCTTTAGGAATCCCCTGATTTTGTGGCTGAATGTTCCCTGAAAGGTTATTTAAGTGGCATTGGAGAAAATAAGCTATATAAAAAGCTTTCGGATTACATACAGCTACCCTGATTATTAAAATACACTTAGATGTTGAAGACATACAGCTGACTTTACTCGGGGTGAATTGTTAAATAAATGAATACTTTTGGCTGGGTAATCAGATCGATACTGTGAAAGGGTATTTTTGAGAAGACGTGACACTGTGTGTACCTGTTGGTAGTGGCAGCCATAATTACAGATTCCTATCCATTAAAATACTTCTGGGTTGCTGTAAGAGGATATTTGGTCCTTAGCTCTGGCAAGATTCTGTTGCCCACCCCTATTCTCTACACATACACCCCCCTTTATCCTCAGCATGTATTTGGCCACATTGACAGGTTTTTAACTTTATTTTTACCCAAATTATTTGAACTGGGTACCCCTCTTGGGGCTTGGACTAGCCCTGCATAATTCTACAGCACATTATCTGTATACTATATTGTGAGTTTACGATTTCAAAGTCAAGTGTCTGTCCATCATCATTTATTCCCCCTATACCCTCCTCCAAATTCTCTCAACCCACTCCACTGGCAATCACAACACTGTTGCCTGTCCATGAGTTATTTCTCTTTTTTTTCTTTTTTGCTCAATATCCTCATTTTTCTCAATACACCCCCCCCACACACACACACACACAAACACACACTCCTGTCAGCCTGCTCTCTATCTATGTGTCTGTCTCTATTTTTATATGTTTTTTTAATTGGTTTTTAGAGAGAGAGGAAAGGAGAGGGATGAAAGAGAAACTTCATAGACCGGTTGCCTCTTGCATGACCCCTACTGGGGGATTGAGCCCGCAACCCGGGCATGTGTCCTGATTGGGAATCAAACCAGTGATCTCTTGGTTCCTAGGTCAATGCTCAACCATGAGCAATACCGACCAAGCAGTCTGTTTCTATTTTGATTGTTAGTTCATTTTGTTCATTACGTTTCACATAGGAATGAAATCGTGTGGTACTTGTCTTTCTCTGGTTGGCTTATTAGCATAATTCAAGTTTAAAGTACTCAATAGTCACCTCAGTGTAAACCCAAGATGATATATTGATTGCTAACACATTATAGTTTACATAAACATTCTTCTTTTTAGCTAATTACATTTTAAAGGAGCCAAAGTATAACTACTTGTCATCTGATAGAAGCCAAAGTACATACTGTCCTTGGAACTCTAGTGTTTTTAGCAGTATCCAATTCTATTGAAACATCATTCATGATTTACCCTGTATGTTATGTTCAGACTCATCATCTATTCCTACCACATACATAGCCAATGTTTCAATCAAATAAAATAACATGTTATACCTTTGTATGAACACACTTTCTGACTATTCTGATTGGCTTCTCTAGATCCTTCCATCTACATGATTTCTTTCTTTACACAGTTCCACATTCTGCACATTCTTTAAAGCCCAGCTACTTTCAACCTAATAGAATTGTATCTCATTCAGACATAATCCCTTCTTGCCTGAAATCAGAGAGTACATTTTCTGGGTTTTACATTCCCCCTTTGTATTTTATATTATAACATTGGGTTGTACTCCTGGCAGAGCTGATCACCTTGGATGCATTTACATGTTACCATGTATATTTGCACCTCTAGGAAATCATCTCTGGAGGTCAGAGATTGCCCTATGAAACTTTATATCCACAAAACTAAACATGGTATCTGGCATTTTTTAGATGCACAATGAGAAGTTAGTGAATTTAATTGACTAGCATTTGTGTCACCAATAAGCTCATGGTCAAGAGAAAGTTGCAAAGAAATCATTATGCACTTATCATTGCACACATGTATAGTGTCATTCACTTCTTTTAATTGCTAAAGAACTCAGACCTTGAGAGGGGTCAATGTAAAAACCCAAAAATGAGGTTTAAATTTAGCACTGTCATCACAGTATATGTTATTTGCCCTATTGTTCAGTTGTAGTATTGCTGACATAGTGCATGAACAACTGAATGGGTGATTGAACAGTAGGTACCTAATACCCTGCTGTAATACACTTTCTAGGGCGACTCAAAAAACGACTCATGGGTCTTTGCCCTGGCTGTGCTTCTGAGCAGCATGTTTGTCTACAACAGCATGAGCACCATCAACCACCAGGCCCTGGAGCAGCTGCAGTATCCTTCCAGGAACCCAACCTCCATGTGTCATGGAGGCTATGGGAAAATAACTGGGACTCTTTTGTTGTTGCTTTTCCTTGTGTCAATATTCATGATTGAGGAAAAAGGGACACAGAGTGAATGAGAATGTTAATAAAAATGATTTCTGGGTGAGATCTGGAAATTTTGGCATGGTGCATTTCTCATTCCTTAGCTAAGATCTCAGCTATGTGACTGAACTAACAAAGCTAATCAGGACAAAGTCGTCTCCCAGCTCTGGTGAAGTAGATGACTCAGCCGAGTTTGCAAGTTTCTTTCCAGACTTTGTTTGGGCCGTACGGGATTTCACGCTGGAGCTGGAGTTAGATGGACGCACCATCAGTGAAGATGAGTACCTGGAGAATGCCTTGAAGTTGGTTCCAGGTACCAGGGGATGGTCTGGGTGGTAGAGGGCTCAATAGGAGGTTGGATTAACTTAGCCCTGTCATTCAGCACTTAAGGTCAATATAATCTTTATTTTTTATTGCACTGAGGCCCATGCTAATGCTATTATGTGTATGACAGATGGGTATGGGTATGGTTTCAATGTATATACTAAAATTGTCCAGTGACCAGGATTTAAGCTGCTGAGAAAAGAGACCCAATATTAGACCAAGATTTTAGGAAATTGACACATGAAAAAGTTTTGATGCTAACACCCAGTGCTAAGACTTCCTAAGGCTCAAATACTTGTGTTTCCGATTAAGTTTAGTGCTCCTTTGCTTCTATTTATAGAAAAATGCCCATCACTATGGATGATGGTTAATTCAGAATCACAAAGTTATCAAGTGACTTCATTTTGTAAATATATTTTATATAGTCTCTTTTAATAGCCTGTATAGTTACATCAAATGTATATATGTATGTGTTTCCCAAAATTTAACATATCCTTCCAGTAAGACTGCCAAATCCTTCCTTATCTCATTGTTATAACATCACTCTCTTCATTCCATAGCCTATTATCATGTTCATATAACACATTCATTATACAGAATACATTTAGCCAAGACGAAAATGAGTGGTACCTAGAAGCATGTCCATTTTTGCTAATTTAATCATTTATTTATTCATTCTAAAATCATTTATTGAACAGTTGATATATGCCCAGAATTACTCTATGTGACATTATCATGACCAATATAATCTGATATAGAGAGCAGGTGAAGTCTCCAAGTGACATTAGGTTAACCTTACTTGTTGATGTTATCTGCTAAAAAGTCTCTGAGCATAGTTATATTGTACTAGAGGCCCAGTGCACAAAATTCATGCATGGGGCAGATGTCCTACAGCCCACCCTGCCCCCTCTCCAATCTGGGACCCTTCGAGGTATGGTCAACTGCCCGTTTAAGCACAATCCTGGTGGAATCAGGCTTAAACAGGCAGTCAGACATCCCTCTCACAATCCAGGACTGCTGACTCCCAACCGCTCGCCTGCCTGCCTGCCTGATTTCCCCTAACCACTTCTGCCTGCCACCTGGTCACCCCCTAACTACTCCCCCTGCCAGCCTGATCGATGCCTAACTGCTCTCCTGCTGGCCCAATTGCCCCTAACTGCCCTCCCTTGCCAGCCTGGTCATCCCCAACTGCCCTCCCCTGAAGGCCTGGTCAGCCCTAACTGTCCTCCCCTACAGGCCTGGTCACCCACAACTGCCCTCCCCTGCTGGCCCAGTCACCCCTAACTGCCCTCCCTTGCCAGCCTGGTTGCCCCTAACTGCCCACTCCTGCCGGCCTAGTCATCCCCAATTGCCATCCCCTTAAGGCCTGGTCCCTCCCAACTTCTCTCCCCTGCAGGCCTGGACACCCACAACTGCCCTCCCCTGCAGGTTTGGGTCCTTCCCAACTGCCCTCCCCTGCCAGCCTGGTTCCCCCCAACTGCCCTCCCCTATAGGCCTGGTCCACCCCAACTGCCCTCCCCTGCAGGCCTGATTACCCACAATTTCTCTACCCTGCTGGTCATCTTGTGTCCACATGGGGGTAGCCATCTTTGACCACATGGAGGTGGCCATCTTGTGTGTTGGAGTGATGGTCAATTTACATATTACTCTTTTATTAGACAGGCTTTTTTCCTCATTCAAATCCATTTATTGGAGATATTCTGAACATTTGTGTGATCAAAGATTCCCTTGAAAACCATATAAATTCTCTCCAAGCAAATTTGTAATGCACACTCATTCTCTCTCTCTCTCTCTCTCTCTCTCTCTCTCTCTCTCTCTTCCCTCTCTCTCTCTCATATGCACACATCATGGAGTTTATGGGAGCACATAATTTTATCTGTCAATACCAAGTTAGGAATTTCTGCTTTAGTTTTTCTAATCTTTATCGTTGAAAGTATTACAGATGTCCCGTTTGTTTTTGTTTGTTTGTTTTTGCCATTGACCCCCTCCACCCCACACCCACCCCTCTATTGCCTTCACCACTCTATTGTCTGTGTCCATGGGCTATACATATGTGCATGTATGTAAATTCCCTGGTTAATCTCTCCCCACCCAAGCCCCACCCCAGTTGTGTGTATTTTTACTCTGATTATTAGAAGTTGTTCTTATTGTCTGTCCTCATCATCATATTTTTCCTAGCAATATAATAAATTTTCATATATCTACCAGAAAATATTTTACTCTTACTTTAGAGCCCGCATTATATTTCTGACATAAGGACTATAATATCAAGAGTATTTCTGGCAATTTTAGGGATTAACCTATCATTCAAAAATATATAATAAATAGTCAAGCCATTGGAAATCATGGAAGTGCTAAGAAAAGCAATCATAAGTTTCTTCAGATGGAATAACTGCTTCCTCTTCTTCCTCAGAAGTACTTCTTTTAGTCCTGGTTCTGGATGGACACACACACACACACACACACTCACAAATCTATGTTTTGGGAAGATTATCATTATGTTGATTTTGATGATTAAATAGGAGATATGCAAGCACCATGGAAATGAACGTTCTTTTCTGAAGACTGTCTCACCAATCACTGTTCTTTTTTCTTCTCTACAGGGGAGGATCCCAAAATCCAGCAAGCCAACATCCCTAGAAAGTATATCAGGAAGTTCTTTCCAAAGCGAAAGTGCTTTACCTTTGACCGGCCTACAACTGACAAAAAATTATTACACCGTATGGATGGGGTATCAGAAAACCAACTAGAGTGCAGTTTCCAGGACCAATCCAAAAATTTCTGTAACTACATCTTCACAGAAGCAAAAACCAAGACTCTCAGAGAGGGAATCATTGTCACTGGAAATCGTGAGTCTCATTTGTTACAGCATGTTTCTCTGCAGTTCATTGTGTGTGATTGTACTCGAGGTTTTTCAGCAGTTTTGTTTCCTTCTCTATGTGATGTGAAAAGGCATAGATACATGCCACACATAAAAATGCATGTTTTTTCATTAAAGTTTCCCAATATGAAGGATTGTTGAAGCCTACTGTGTCTCATGAAACTAATACACCAATGACATAAGCACACGCTGCTGTTAAGGACAGGAATCTGCATGATGATGAGAAAGCCAATGAGATGAGTGTGTCCTGTTGAGGATACACAAGATATTTTGAGAATTTACACCAGATAGAAAAAATATATAGCAAAACATAAGGCTCTGAATGCTCATCAGAGTTTGAGAAGAAAAGTTAACTATAGCCTTATGTGCAGGACTAGCTTCACAGATATTCCACCTGGGCAGACATACAAATATTAAACCAAATATAGGGCTGAGATTCCTGGAATTCTTGAGGATTTTTTTAAATAAATTTTCATTGGAAAAATTTTCCCACAAATTATCTATTAACCTGTAAAATAAACTCTCTTTAATTTTATTTCAATTGGGAAATGTATCTAGGAGACTCTTGAAAATATTGGCTGAGATCTTTAAGTTTATGTTATCCTGTGATAAATGTGAGAACCATAAAAGGGAAAGTGTATAGGAGACATAGTGATGTTATTATAAAGAAGTGGATTTGTGGAAGAAAAAGGAAGAGGAAACAAAGATGAGGGTAAGGAAGAAGATAAGGAGAAAAAGAAAAAGAGAAGCCAGAAATTTTCATTTCAATAACATTTTTGTTACTGTTAGAATGCTGATCTCTAAAGTTTGTAAAGCATGAGTGAGA